GACTTTTATACGACAGCCAGCTAGTAAAACACAGAACTGCGAGACTGTTCTTTTTGACTAGTGGTGCAACGGCTGTAGCTGTGCAAGCAAAAGAAAGCTAAGCAGCAGAGCCATTGCCGGAACCCCCCCGCTATGGAGGAGAAAACAGGTATCGAAAAAACTGGTCTTGCTTCGTCGGTGCTACTCACTGGAATGCTTCAATGTTGTATTCAAGATGACTCGGCACTTCGGACTTATCGCATAAACCTACTTGCATTCTCTTGTCATTCCATGGTTCAGGGCGGGGTGTGACGCTTTGAATCGCATGACAGAAATTGTAGAGGGTTTGGGTCCCAAAAAGTTTTGAGCGGGGGGCAAGGGGGGGGCGAGGGGGCGGGGGAGGGGGAGAGGGGCGGGAGGGGGGGCAGAGGTTTTAGTAAACTGAGTGTTTTCGCCTTGGACTGAAACTCTGCTTGTCAGCTGTTTAGACAAACAATTCACACTGATACCACATACATAAGCAAATGGAAGGGGCTTGGGCGGTGCGATAAGCGAATGGAAGGGGGGATGCTTTCAGCAAATGGAAGGGGCCTGGGCGGTGCTATAAGCAAATGGAAGGAGCCTGGGCGGTGCGATAAGCGAATGGAAGGGGCCTGGGCGGTGCTATAAACAAGTGCAAAGGCCTGGGCGGTGCGATAGGCGAACGGAAGCCTGGGCGGTGCTACAAGCAAATGGAAGGGGCCTGGGCGGTGCTATAAGCAAAAGGAAGGGGCCTGGGCGGTGCTTTCAGCAAATGGAAGGGGCCTGGGCGGTGCGATAAGCGAATGGAAGGGGGGAGCAATGGAAGGGGCCTGGGCGGTGCTATAAGCAAATGGAAGGGGCCTGGGCGGTGCTATAAGCAAATGGAAGGGGCCTGGGCGGTGCTATAAACAAATGCAAAGGCCTGGGCGGTGCGATAGGCGAATGGAAGGGGAGAGCCTGGGCGGTGCTATAAGCAAATGGAAGGGGCCTGGGCGGTGCTATAAGCAAATGGAAGGGGCCTGGGCGGTGCGATCAGCGAATGGAAGGGGGGAGCCTGGGCGGTGCTATAAGCAAATGGAAGGGGCCTGGGCGGTGCTATAAGCAAATGGAAGGGGCTTGGGCTGTGCGATAAGCGAATGGAAAGGGGGAGAATGGGCGGTGCTATAAGCAAATGGAAGGGGCCTGGGCGGTGCCATAAGCAAAAGGAAGGGGCTTGGGCGGTGCTATAAGCAAATGGAAGGGGCCTGGGCGGTGCGATAAGCGAATGGAAGGGGGGAGCAATGGAAGGGGCCTGGGCGGTGCTATAAGCAAATGGAAGGGGCCTGGGCGGTGCTATAAGCAAAAGGAAGGGGCCTGGGCGGTGCTTTAAGCAAATGGAAGGTGCCTCCACATCGCCTGCGCCTCAGGCTTTCTGTCGCTGTCGGACAGCAACCGCTTGAAAGTCGACTGGCTGCAGCAACACACATGCCGAGGAGCCTTCTCGACCCGACGAGCACGGGCATCCCTGCAACGAAGCAGGAGCTCCGACGACGCGGCCTGGCAGGGCCTCCTGTCATGGGCCAGTCAGAAGTCTTGCAGGTCCCTCCCGATCGACATTGCCTGTTTTCGTGCGCGGTGGCTGCTCGCGATGTGAATCGTTTGAGAGGCTTGTTGCAGGATGAAAACGGATTCTTGACGTCTCCCCGAGAAGATCTCGAGCTGCTCACCGCTTGCCAACGACTGCGACAGATTGTTGGCGCCGAGGATGACCGGTTCGACATTGTGGGGCAGCTAGCGAGCCCCGAACTGCCGGAAGGCGCAGTGTTGACATACATCGCACGCTGGCTGGGTGGTTCCGTCATTGTTTCGCTCGAAGGGGCATCTTCGGAGTGGGACGTAGTCGTTGGTGAGTTTAACCGTGATTTCGGGCAGGTTTTGGGGTATATATATAACATATTGTCAGTACTGACATCGCTCCACTGCCTAGCGGTGGCACGGCACTCTCTCTGGTAAGACAGTTGAACTGCTGTATAGGCGTATTATATGTGCGATGCCCATGCAGCCACTTGCTTTGGGCGGTTCGGCTGGTGGGAAAGGAGCTTCGAAAGGAGCGAAGCTCCCCCACCAGCCACGCCTGAGTTTAGGGTTTAGGGTTTAGGGTTTAGGGTTTAGGGTTTAGGGTTTAGGGTTTAGGGTTTAGGGCTTAGGGTTTAGGATTTAGGGTTTAGGGTAGCGGTTTAGGGTATAGGGTTACCCTAGTTCCCTACCCCACATGAAGCCCCCTTTTCTTGCGGACCCTACAAGGCTGGCCCTTTAAACCCTCTGCCCTAAACCCTAAACCCTAAACCCTAAGCCCTAAACCGAAAAATGTTCCTGAAGATGATCCTCTTGAGCCCAATCACAGAAAAAATGGAACGTCCCAAAGGCCGACCCAGTCCCTAGCCGCCGTACCCCCGCATGACCGCCCACCCTTGAACCCTGCCCCCTTAAGAAAACCCTAAACCCTAAGCCCTAAACCTCTCTTGCTATATATATATATATATATATATATGTATATATATATATATAAACCTTAATAGGTTTCGTGGGCAAAGGCACAAAAATCGTGGCAAAAAATCGTGGGCAAGACACAAAAACTCGTGGGCAAGGAACGTTTCGGATTTTTGGGCCATTGGGCAAGTCTTAAAACCCCAAAATGTGCCTTGCCTACGAATTTTTGTGCCTTGCCCACGAATTTTGCGCCTTGCCCACGAATATTTGTGCCTTTGTCCACGAAATTTTGTGCCTTGCCCACGAATTTTCGCGCACACAAATTGGTGGCAAGGCACAAAAACTCGTGGGCAAGCACCAAAATGGCAAGGCACCGAAATTCGTGGGCAAGGCACAAAACTTGGTGGGCAAGGCGCAAAAATTCGTGGGAGGCACAAAAACTCGTGGGCATGGCACGTGGCCCCCATCCCCCCACCCACCCCCACCCCCCCACCCCCCCCCCCACCCCCCCTACCCCCCCACCCCCCCCACCCCCCCCCCCCCCCCCATCCCCCCCCCTCCCCCCCCCCATCTTTTTGGCTTGCCCCCTAACCCCCCCAAACGTTCGCAGAACTCTGCCAAGCAGGCTGGGATGAATCTTCACCCTGCCACCCCCCACCCCCCAACCCCCCCCCACCCCCCCCCCCCCCCCCCAACGCCCCCCAACCCCCCACCCCCCCCACCCCTCCCACCCACCCCGCACCCCTCACCCCAACTTTTGTATGAAGATACTTTATGGTTTCTTTATGGGATTTTCTGGGCGGGTGGGTGTTATATCCGAGCCGTAAAACTGCTCGATCCGGAGCTGCTGAACCTTAAACCTAAACCCTAAGCCCTAAACCCTAAACTCTAAACTCCAAACGCTAAACCCCTTTGAAAAGGACATCAGCAACTTGGCCGAAGGTCGCGTGGGTCCCATCACCAAGCGTGGCAAGGCTCTTCAAAAGCCACTTGGGGGGTAGCCCCGTGGTACCCTTTTGCCCTTTTCAGGGTTTAGGGTTTAGGGTTTAGGGTGTAGAGTTGAGGGTTTATGGTTTCTTCTTCTTCATATTTTGTTTTTTATTTGGGGGGTTCTAGGTTCCCTTGTAATAAGGAGAATCAAACCCCAAAAAGGGAGCCTCGTTCATTGTTTTTTTTGGTTCCACATGCCCTTATAAATAAAAAATCAGTCCCCAAAAAGGGTATGCCCTCATATGGCTTACTGGGCTGCCAAGGCCAGTGGCTCAGACCTTCAGTGCCTGGCGTGACTTCGGGATACTTCGAAATAGTTCTTAATTTTTGGGTACTATAATCCCTAAGAACAGCAACCAATTAACTTGGAAGTAGTTCTTAGTTTTTTGGTACTATGATCCCTACGAAGCAGCAAAAATTAGTGTTTTTGCTAGGGTTCCAAGTTCAGTATAGGTGACCCAGCTCTCGCGGCATCCACGGTGCTCGTCCTCACGGGCTTGTTTGCTGCCCGAAAGTCCTTCTGACGGCTCGATACGGCTCGCGCCGGCATGGCCCATCGCGCCTGTGATGCAGCGCAAGGGCCCTAATTCGAGAATTCGCTCGTTTCAAGAGTTCGTGATGACTCCTCGATTTCAAGGGTTTTTTCAAGGTGCTGCGGTGCGGAGGTGCGGAGAGAAACTGCCCCCCCTGCTTGGAGGTTCATGGCACTTATTAACCAATTATAACTGTACTTCTAGCTGTACATAACCATATTGGGCACTTAAGGGGGCTTGTAAGTGGGTTATAAGTACAGTTATAATTGGTTCATAAGTACAGTTATAATTGGTTCATGAGTACCCCTAAACCCTAAACCCTAAACCCTAAACCCTAAACCCTAAACCCTAAACCCTAACCCCTAAACCCTAAACCCTCAACCCTCAACCCTCAACCCTCAACCCTCAACCCTCAAACCCTAAACCCTAAGCCCTAAGCCCTAAACCCTAAACCCTAAACCCTAAACCCAGTAAGTACCATGAACCTCCAAGCCCCCCCCACGCGGCTCAAGGGGCAGCACTCTCCGCGCCTCCAAGGCTGCTTCGCCCCGCTTGGGCGGCTGTCGGCGCTGCCCTTTTATATTACATGCATTTGTGTGCTTGGTAGCCCCGGGGTACCCGTTTAGGGTTTAGGGTTTAGGGTTTAGGGTGTAGGGTTTAGGGTTTAGGGAATTGGGTGGTTCAAGGTTTCCTTGATAAAGTAACCAACCCCCAACAGGGTGCCTTGATTGCAACATGGTTACTGGGCTACCAAGCGTGTGTTGTTCCTCGTATGCTCGCATTACCCATCTGGTCCTGGCTTACAGGGTCAGCTAGGGCCGCCGTGGCAGGCCTGTACAGAGTTTGAAAGAGCGCCCCCAAAAGCACATCAGAGTTTCAAGCAATTATTTACATCGCTGGAGCAGGTGGGGCCGGAGGACCTTACCTTTCTTGGCAGCCCAGTGGCGCCCTTTCCCCTTTTTTTTGGGTTCAAGGTTCCCTCATAAAGCAAGCAACCCCCAAAAAGGGGGTGCCCTTGTTACAATATGGTTGCCGGGCTACCAAGTTTTCGCAGCGGACTACCTCTACTGGCAAAGATGTTATCTTGCGCAAAAGGGGCCGTTCGCCAGCTCGTCAACCCGCGCTTGTATATTCCAGTTTTGAGGCGTACTTGGAGGTTCGGGGGAAGTTACAAGTCAGGTTATAAGTGCTCTAAACAGGGTTACTAGTAATTATAACCTTACTTACAGCTACCCATGATGAACATCCAAGTAGGGTTTTCATTCCAGCCGATGTCTGTGCAGAGCCGTCCACCACAAAACTCGTTGCTGCCCAGTTCCCACAAAAGTTCACTGGAGCTCACCATCCCTGCGGCCGTTTCAGGGGCAAAGGACGGGCAGGTGGGACCGGAATGTTTGAGGCAATGTCCGGCGTTTGGACGTCTTGGCCGCTGACCGCAAAAGTGTGCGCGATACTGGTCACTATTGGCAAACATGTGCCATGAAGTACCCTATACCATGTTTTCTTTTCTTTGAAATGCCCCAAGATCTCGAACTGAACTGACATTCAACCTCCTTGTCGGCGGTCTCCGGCATATTCCCAGGATACTTGCAGCCCTTCAAGTGGTCGCTTGCCTGATCACCCACTGCTCGGGGCGCGGTGGACCAGTGGACAGGTTCAAGGCGGTCAACGAAGATGAGCTCGAGGTCTCTTGGTGGCCCAGCGGTACCCCTTTTTGCCCTTGTTCTTGGTTTTTGGGCTCCCTTGACCACAGCCATAAAAAGAGGCGGCCTGTGTTGTGATGTTGGGCTGTGAGTGCCGTAATACCCAACCCTAAGCCCGAAGCCCGAAAACCTTAAACCCCAAACCCCCGAACCCCGAACCCCGAACCCCGAACCCCGAACCCCGAACCCCGAACCCCAAACCCCAAACACTAAACCCTAAACCCTAAACCCTAAACCCCAAGATGGTTTCTGGGCTACCAAGGTCTTCACCTTGACCCGAAATGCTTTGATCATTCCAATGAGCCTCATCGCCTTGGTCGCGGGATTCCAGGTGGGGGGGGGGGTGGGGTTTTAGGTAGGGTTTAGGGTTTAGGGTTTGGGGTTTGGGGTTTGGGGTTTAGGGTTTAGGGTTTAGGGCTTACTTGGAGGATCAGGGGACTTAGTAAGTAAGGATATAAGTACCCCAATTGGGGGTTATAAGTAATTGTAACTATAGTTCCTCTCCTTAGAACCCTACTTCCCAAGTCACCTGATCCTTTAGGTAGGGTGTCTCAACTGAGGGGCGCGGTGGTGCTAAAGGCACCCAGGTGCGTGCGCCCCGAACCTCCCAAAACCTGGAAAACTGCTCGGCTTGGGGGTCTTGTCCAGCAACACGCCACAGCACGGAAGCGGGGCGCAAAAAACAGCCCCCTTTTCGAGGGATGCTGCGGTGTACTTGAAGGTTTAGGGTATCTCATTCTATGACGGGTTCTTCGCCAGCCACCTACCGGGTCACCCACGCAGCCCGAACTTACTACGGGACTGAGAGCCCCGTCGCCAGCCGGAGGGCTTATGGCTCCCTCGCCTGTCGCGTTCGGCACGTTCGCCTGCTCGACGGCCCCGGGCTCACTCAGTTTAGGGTTGAGGTGCCGCCTCCATCGGTCCTTGCAGTGGGCTTCAATGCAGGTTCAAAGGTTCATCAGGGTTCCGTATGGTTCCGTTCTGCTGTGGGATATATCAGAGTAGGACGCCCAGTCGTGCCCTTCTTCCCATGTTTTGGTTCAAAACGAGCGCCCTTTTTTTATGCTAGGTTTCTGAGGAACCTATCGGAGGACCCGACCCCAGCAGTTCTCGGCCCTGAGAGCCCTAAACCCTAAACCCTAAACCCTAAACCCTAAACCCTACACCCTAAACCCTAAACCCTAAACCCTACACCCGAAACCCTAAACCCTAAACCCAAAACAGGTAAATGAGATGTTTTCCTCGCGGCCGCGGCGGCGAGCGCTTGTGATCTCAACTGCGCCCGTGTTCTTGTTTCTTGGTAGCCCAGTGGTACCCCTTTTTTTGTGGGGGTTCCTATATTTTTCCGGGGAATTAATTGTCATTTTTATTCCTACACAGCCCAAGAGATACTAAAAACATTATTTTTATTCAGGTTCTAAAGGGAACATAGGTTCAAGGTTCCCTGTTCAAGAAACCGACCCCAAAAAGGGTACCCTTCTTATGATATGAAGCAGGGTATATATTACTCTTATTGGTGAGTATATATAAGGTTCCTTTTTCATATTGGAGAGTGTATATTCTTGGTGGCCTTTTGGGGATACAAGAAATATATACCCTACTTCATATGGCTCCTGGGCTACCAAGGTTTGCAGTGAAAGTTTGCCAGTACACCATGCTGTCGCGCGGCTATGGCTTGCCATTTCAAAACCACAGGGGCTCCGACTATCGGCCCCTCTACGTGACGCGCTACCTCGGCTGGACCTATGCGGTCCCCACCACGCTCTTCATGAGCCTCAGGGGATCACGAACATGACTTGAAGTTTTCTTTTGCTTCGAAGAAACAGCGAACCATCTAGTCTAAGAAGCAGCGAACCATCTAGTCTTTACCAGGGTTCCAAGTGCGGTAAAGGAACCTTTATCCAGTCATGGACAAGCACCCAGCACTTGATGTTCTTGTCCGAACCTTGCCTCAGCTGGCTGCCTCCGCAGCCTACTGCTGGGCATGCGGCTTGGGCTGCATTGTGCGTGACGCAGACGTGGGCTGGTCCCTCGTCGGGCTTGGTGTCGTGGCCTATGTTGCTGTTATTGCAGACGAAGTTGTCTACGTCTGCGAGCACATCAGGACCACGTCGCAGCCATGGATTAAAGGAGCAAGCATCATCATTAAAGAAATCATGTTTGTGGCTTACCTCGCCGTCTATCTGCTGGGTAGCTGGGGCATTGTCAGCTCTTATGCGTGCCAGCTATTCTACGGCATCGCAGATGTCAGTCACCTTGTGGTGTTGTCAGCGCTTCTCTTTGTATATTGGACCCTCGATGATCCCAAGCTGACGAGTGCAGACCACCGGGATTGAGATCACCATCGTTTGCCGTGGCAGCGCCATTGCCTTCAACGGCAAAGCAAGCCTAAGCGTGGAATCCATGAAGGCAGCACATGGTTGGCATGATCTGAATGCTATGTGGGGGGGGTTACCGAAAACAAGAGACTCCTAATTTTGTCCCCCCAAATGGTTGGATTCCTTTATCGTAAGGGCTTAGGTGCCCCTAATTTCGGAAGCTCCCCCGTGTGATGAGTTGGTGCTCTCTTCGGAGCGGTACAACAGTTCACCTAATTTGTTGGGGCAAATGAAGCTGCAACATCCAATGTTCGACGTCTACTATAGGGGTTGGAATAATTACTAATAGTATTCACTCCTGGTCCCTATATAAGTACCCAGAGACTCCAAAACCCCTTAACTAAGGAATATGCCTTAAATCATATTAGGGTTCCTATTATAATTTAAGGTATATTCCTTAATTCAGGGGTTTTGGAGTCTCTGGGTATATACTAGAATAACCCCCCCCCCCCAAAAAAAAAAACCCTGTTCTACTTTTTAAGACCCCTATATAACTGCGTCCTACATGCTGTTTCAACATTTTAGTAGTTTCCGCTGCCATTGTACAGTTGTTCTGGCACAGATTGTGCTTTGGATGCAACACACGTCGTTGTCTATGCGCCGGTGCTGGGGTAGCTATAGTTTACACTCTGGCTGACCACAAATACCCATGAACTCAAGAGGCACTACCTCTTCATTGGGCTTTTTGCATCCTATAGGTCTGGCCTAAACGAGGTCCCCCATTCCCTACTAACCAGCAGTAAGTCGTGCACACCAGCTCCTTCGTTCGACCCGCCCCCCAAAGCCTTAACAGCTACGTGTAGGGCCTTGAGAACCTCTGAACCCTAAACCCTAAACCCTAAACCCTGAACCCTGAACCCTAAACCCTAAACCCTAAACCCTAAACCCTGAACCCTAAACCCTAAACCCTAAACCCCACACCCCACACCCTAAATCTCAAACCCCAAACCCTAAACCCCAAAGCTTGCGATCAGCGTGGGCAGGATGACGCACAGCAACTTCTTGGTCAGAGGTGCCGCCTTCTACAACCTGCGGGGGGGCCAGGTCTGGGGTCATTTTGGGTGGTTTAGGGCTTAGGGTTTAGGTTTAGGGTTTTGGGTCGAAGGTCTTGCTCAGTGAAACTGAAACCTTCAACCCCCCCAAAACCCTCGTACTGCTGAGATTTACGTGCCTCTTTCTGGCCATACCAGCCCAGCGTTTGTTTCTTGGGCGCCCGTGGCCTACGCCGCATTGGTGGCGTGCGAGAACGAGGTCAGCCTGACTGACCTCCGCTGGGATCTTTACTCGCACGAAACACTTCAGGGTTTTGTGCCGGCTTGGATGCCTCGGCACGACAACCGTTTGCTGGTCAGCTACGCTATTGCGGTGCCGGCCACGCAACTTGCGGCGTTGGAGCGAGTCGGGCGGGGTGCGGCAGACCTTTTCTGGAGGCTGCCGTCCCCGTTCGCGATCAACGCTCCGCTGAACTTTGGATTGGAGGAAGAGCCTTCTGTTTTTGAGTGGCTGCCCCTACTGGCGCTGTTTGGCAACCCTAAACCCTAAACCCGAAACCCTCAGCTCTAAACCCTAAGCCCTAAGCCCTAAGCCCTAAGCCCTAAGACCTAAGACCTAAGCCCTAAGCCCTAAGCCCTAAGCCCTCAACCCTCAACCCTCAACCCTCAACCCTCTACCCTAAAGCCCTCAACCCTAAGCCCTAAACTCTTTTTTTGGCTTTTTTCTTGGAGGAGGGGGGATTAGGGTTTTGGAGTTTGAAGGCCTCAACTTGCCTCCCACAGATCTAAAACCGACCCAATGTTTTTTCTTTCAGGTTGCCGGTTTGAGGCTTTGGGTTTAGGGTTTAGGGGTTTTGGGGTTAGTTTCCTCAGCAGAGGGCGAAGTCTAGAATTTTGGGGAAGCGATTCTCGGTCTACCACATGGGTCGAAGACAAGACGGTGAAGTTGTATCGTTCTGCAGGAGTTCAGGCAACAGGGGCGCAAGCCTAGACCCTAAACCCTGAACCCTGAACCCTAAACCCTAAACCCTAAACCCTAAACCCTAAACCCTAAACCCTAAACCCTAAACCCTAAACCCTAAACCCTAAACCCTAAACCCTAAACCCTAAACCCTAAACCCAAACCCTAAATGCACCTCTAAGATGTCCCTAAGCCCTCTAAACCCGAAACCCCAACGCGGACGCTAGAGGCCCTGATCCTTGTACCCTCAGCAACGTGGGGGCTGAAGGGCTGGGTTTAGGGTTTAGGGTTTAGGGTTTAGGGTTTAGGGTTTAGGGTTAGGGTTTAGGGTTTAGGGTTTAGGGTTTGGGGTCTGGGGTTTAGGGTTTAGGGTTTAGGGTCTAGGGTCTAGGGTCTAGGGTCTAGGGTTTAGGGTTTAGTAGGGGTCTGAATCCAAAGTATCCCTCAAATCGGTGGCTTTAACTCAAGCGGTTTAGGGCTTAGGGGTTAGGGTTTAGAGTTCAGAGGGTGCTAAGAATTGTGACTTCAGGTTGCCTGTATGCCCAAGCCCCAAACCTTTGGGAAGATTCGCGTCTGAAAGCCGAAGGCCTTGCGACGAGGGGTGGAATGTTTCGGTGCAAGATTCTGAACACGAGGACTAGGACCCAGAGTTCCTTCTTTCTTTTGGTACTTTGGGTCTAGCGGAACAGTTACAGGGTTTATAGGGCTTGTATGGCTTGTGGTTCAGGGAGGGTGCTGATACCGCAGGCACTGGCAGCCAAGAAACTCGGGTGGAGGTCTACTGCAGGCGTTCTCAGAACCTGAACCCTAAAACCTGAAATCCGAACCCCTAAGCCCTAAGCCCTAAGCCCTAAGCCCTAAGCCCTAAGCCCTAAGCCCTAAGCCCTAAGCCCTAAGCCCTAAGCCCTAAGCCCTAAGCCCTAAGCCCTAAGCCCTAAGCCCTAAGCCCTAAGCCCTAAGCCAAAGTTCCAACTGTCGCGCTCCGACGGTCCAAGGCGCACGAGCGTCGAATTCCTCATGGAGGCTGTCAGGAGCTCGGATGCAGAGACTTTGAGTTTTTGAGACTGCGTGAAGTGAAGCATTCAGGACCCCCAGCCTTGGCTACGGGTTGGGGCCTAAACCCTAAACCCTAAACCCTAAATCCTAAACCCCAAACCCCTAAACCCCTAAACCCCTAAACCCCTAAACCCCTAAACCCCTAAACCCCTAAACCCCTAAACCCCTAAACCCCTAAACCCCTAAACCCCTCAACCCCTAAAAACCCCCAAACCCCAAACCCCTAAACCCCTAAACCCCTAAACCCCTAACCCCTAAACCAAAACCCCTAAAAAACCCCAAACCCCCCTAACCCTAACCCCTAAACCCCCTAACCCCTAAACCCCTAAACCCTTAAACCCCTAAACCCAAAACCCCTAAACCCCTAAACCCCTAAACCCCTAAACCCCTAACCCCTAAACCCCTAAACCCCTAACCCCAAACCCCAACCAAACCCCAAACCCTAACCCTAACCCCAAACCCGCAAGACCAGGCTAAAAACAAATTGTTTGTTTTTCAATCTGAACTTGTAATTTCGATAGGGAAAAAAAGCGCACTTCCTCCACCCACCCACCCCCCACCACCCCCCCCACCCCCCCACCACCACCACCACCACACCACCCCACCACCCCACCACCCCACCACCCCACCCCCACCCCCCACCACCCCACCACCCCACCACCCCACCACCCACCACCCCCCGCCCCCCACCCTACCCCCCACCCCAAACACCCCCCACACCATCCCTTCCCCTGCCCAAGAGGGACATCAGGCACTTCGGCAGGGCTTCCAGAGGGGCATCCAAGCCAAGGGCCCTTAGAGATCCGAGACCAAATCCTTACAGGGTTAAGGGTTAGGGTTTAGGGTTTAGGGGTTTAGGGTTTAGGTTTAGGTTTAGGGTTTAGGGTTTAGGGTTTAGGGTCATTCGAAAGCAAAAGAACAAACTGGTCAATACCCGGTCAAAACCCCGGACACAAACCCAAGACAATTTCTATAAACCCTAAGCTCTGAACCTCTGCGCTTCGGGGCTCTTCACTCCCAGAAGGCATTCCAACCCTAAACCCTAAACCCTCAACCCTTAAGCCCTAAGCCCTAAGCCCTAAGCCCTAAACCCTAACCCTAAACCCTAAACCCTAAACCCTAAACCCTAAAGCCCTAAAACCCTAAACCCTAAAGCCCTAGCCCTAAGCCCTAAACCCTAAAGAACCATCAAACATCCCCTGCCGTGGCTGAGGCCATGGTGGCGAGCTCCGCGATGTCTACGGGGAGAACAAGCTGTGGGGCCCGAGCGCCCAGGTTTGGGGTTTAGGTTTAGGGCTTAGGGTTTAGGGTTTAGTAAATTTGGGTTTAGGAAATTTAGGGTTTAGGGTTTAGGGTGTAGGGTTTCGGGTTTAGGGTTTGGGGTTTAGGGTTTAGGGTGTTTAGGGTTCAGGGTTTAGGGTTGACCCGGATGTCGTGGCAATTACAGAATGGGGTGGCATGACCCCGCCCCGGCTCAAAACAAGCCTTCAAACCAGCCAGAACGAAAGCTGTCCCACTGACAACCCCCCCCCAAAACCCACCCCGGTTCCTGATTTCCAGTGAGTTGAGGGTTCAGAGTTCAGGGTTTAGGGCTTCGGGCTTAGAGTTTCAGTGGTTGTTGGAGGAGGGCAGTGGAAGGCTTTTGGGGTCTTTACTTTGAAAGTTCATCGGAGCTACAAACAACTAGGGCTCTAAGCACCCAGAAAGAAGGCCAGCTAGAACCACAGGTACGTCACTTGCCAACCCCAGAACTAGCTACCCATGGCCAAGTAGGGTTCGGGATCTAGGCCGGTAAGCCCTAAACCCTAAACCCTAAACCCTAAACCCTAAATCCTAAACCCTAAGCCCTAAACCCGGTCGATGCTCTGGTCGGGTTTGGTTGAGGGTGTATTTGAAGGATCCCCGACTTCCACAGTATCGGAGCCCCCTACACCCGGTTTGGGGTTTAGGGTTTAGGGTTTAGGGTTTAGGGTTTAGGGTTTAGGGTTTAGGGTTTAGGGTTTAGGGTTTAGGGTTTAGGGTTTAGGCTTTACTTAGGCTTTAGGGTTTAGGGTTTAGGGTTTAGGGTTTAGGGTTTAGGGTTTAGGGTTTAGGGTTTAGGGTTTATTGTTTAGGGTTTAGGGTTTAGAGTTCCCTGAACCCTGAACCCCGACCACTCTCAAGACCCCAAACCCGGTTTCGGTTTGGGGTGGACGGTCTATGAGTTTAAGGGCTTAGGGTTCAGGGTTCACTGTAGGGTTTAGGGTTTTTTAGGGTTTCGGGTTTAGGGTTTCGGGTATAGGGTATAGGGTTTAGTGTTTAGGGATTTGGGACCAGGGCCATGAGGGCGACGATAGAGGGGCTCTTTGATGGCACCCTGGTTGCAAGGTGCTCTACACCATAAAGGGGCCTGAATAGTTAGAATGGGGCATTCGGGGGGGGGGGGGGTATTATCGTATAATTACAAAGAGAGTATAAGGGAAGATGATTAGTAACTAAACCTTAAAACCCTGGGTTATATCACGGCTTGTGCTTGAGCTCACCGCAAGCCGAGGTCAAGCTGACCTGGTTCGCTTCCACACGGCGTGCGCCGTGCGGGGGCATAGTGCCGGGCTTTGGGTTTGGGCTTCATGGTTCTCGACAGGCAGGTATATGGTATAGGGTTTAGGGTTTGGGGTTTAGGGTTATGGGCCCTTATTATGGCCCCTTACCTCCGTTTAAAGGGTTCTGAAGTATGGGCCCTTGGGTGTTTTTTGGGTATACAAGGGGCATGTAAGAGGTCCCTTTTTAAAGGCAATACTAATGGACCGTGTATCTAGCCTGAGAGGTTCGGAATCATCGTCAGTTCCCCATGTAGCCTAAATCCAGATCCGGGGATGCCAATAGATGTGGTAATGGTGTGGGATTTGGCTTCAGGATCTTTGAGTGAGGGCTATAAATGTTCAGAGCCCAGGATTCAGCAAGGGTTTCAGATTGGGGGATCTAGGAAGTAGAGCTTAAGAGCTGAGGTTGTAGACCGTTCACTTGTCTGTTGTTGGGCCTGGGATTAATTGGGTTCGTTCATCTTGGGTTTAGGGTTTAGGGTTTAGGGTTTAGGGCTTAGGGAAGATGATTTCGAATGTCGGGCTTGCAGCGAATCACTCCAGTGGTGTTTTGAGCCGTGAGGCTTCGACGATGTCTATAACATGTTCAATTAGAAGTTTAGGGTTTAGGGTTTAGGGTTTAGGGTTTAGGGTTTAGGGTTTAGGGTTTAGGGTTTAGGGTGGCCGCGTTTTCCTTAGCTTCTACTCTCTCGCTTTCCAAGACCAGAGTCTTTGCAGACACTTTTTTCTCTGGCCTTTTGTCAACAGCCGATCCAATGTTGTGCTGAAAGAACTGAGGTGTTTGGCACCACAAGTTCTTACAGAGTTTAGGGTTTAGGGTTTAGGTTTAAGGTATAGGGTTTAGGGTTTAGGGTTTAGGGTTTAGGGTTTAGGGTTTAGGGCTATTCAGAATTACAGCTTCATCGTTTCATGCGGAATTTTCAGAGCCAGTTTCGGGAAAGCACTTTCCCCGGGAAGTGGTTCTGATGTCGCGATGCCCCCTGCTGATGCCCACCTCCAGTCGCTGACCAAAAGTCCCTGAACCTTCAGCCCTAAACCCGACTCGAGGTTCATGGGCAGCTATAAGTAGGGTTATAACTATGGCAGCTATACCCTATAACCTTATTCAGGGTACCTTTAACCTTCTTTATAACTACTCAAAGCCCAAAAGTCTAAACCCTAAACCCTGAACCTTAAACCCTAAACCCTAAGCCCTGAACCCTGAACCCTGAACCCTAAACCCTAAACCCTAAACCCGAAGCCCTAAACCCTAAACCCTAAACTCTAAACCCTAAACCCTAAACCCTAAAGTCTTGAAGTGTGACGAGGCCCGTGGCCTGGACCACCTGCACATGAGGCGGAGGGTTTATATAGGGTTTAGGGTTTAGGGTTTAGGGTTTAGGTTGTAGGGTTTAGGGTTTAGGGTTTAGGGTTCAGCATCTCAAGTCCAGGCATTCGCTAGTCAATCAGTGTGCTTGTGATCCGGAATTATACCCGCCCAAAGAATCCCATAACGTTAAGGCAATATAAAGTGCACTCTATCCATTCCTGGTAGGCCCTAAATTCTAAAGGCCAAAGGCTTGATGTGATGGTTTCTCACGTCACAAACGTACCTACTGAGCCACTGATGCAGTTAAGACATCAAGAAAGACGATGCAACCTGTGTCAGGTAAAGAAGTTGTTTATAACCGCATGTCTCGGTCGTTGAGAGCCAACACCGTATGCCCTAAACCTGAACCCAACGCCCATGGTAGACCCTAGACACAACCCATGCCCCGAACGCGAGCGCCCTAAACCCTGCCCCAAAGCCACTCTAGACCCTATGCCCCAAACGCTACAGCCCTAAAGCCTATGCCCTAAACCCTAGCGCCCTAGACCCTGAAAGCCCGAATCCCAAACCCTAGGGACCTAAACTCTATGCTCCAAACCCCAGGGCCTAAAACCCTATGTTCCAAATCCGAGCCCTAAACCCTCTGCGGCCCTAAACCCTATGCCACAAACCCTCAGGCGTTAAACTCTCTGCCCACTATGCCCAAACCCTAAGGCCCAGGAAATGACAAAACTGCCCATCAGGACACGACAAGCATATTTTCTGGTGGGCAATGGTCAAATTGGGTGGGCAAGTGTTTTGGGCGCCACCCAGCGATCCTCAACCTGAAAAATAGAAACCGTAAACCTAAACCAAACCAAGCCGGCATGTGAGTCGAAATTCATCCACCCCCTATCGTGCGATAGTACAACCTTTGGGGTTTAGGGTTTAGGGTTTAGGGTCTAGGGTTTAGGGTTTAGGGTTTAGGGGCTAAAACGCCCGGCGTTGAGCCCTCCCCTAGCCTCAAAGCCCAAGCCCTGGGCCTCACCTCCCGAACCCAAAACCGCACCGCAGCCCCTCAACCCTCAACCCTCAACCCTGAACCCGAAACGCTAAACCCTAAACCCTAAACCCTAAACCCAAAACCCAAAACCCAAAACCCAAAACCCTAAACCCTAAACCCTAAACCCTAAACCCTAAACCCTAAACCCTAAACCCAAAACCCTAAACCCTAAACCCTAACCCCTAAACCTAAACCCTAAACCCTAAACCCTAAACCCTAAACCCTAAACCCTAAACCCTAAACCCTAAACCCGAAACCCGAAACCCGAAACCCGAAACCCGAAACCAAACCCCTAAACCCTGAACCCCCCCTCCAAAATACCCGAAGGCACATCCTCTACCGCGACCTGAAGCCGGAGAACATGCTCCTTGACTCCCGCGGTGCCTCGACCTCGAAGCCGGAGACCATATCGGGGTTTAGGGTTTAGGGTTTAGGGTTTGGGGTTTAGAGGTTTAAGGGTTTTACGGTTTTGGGGTTTTGTGTGGAGGGTTTGAGGGAATCAGGGTTTTGGGTTTTAGGGTCTTAGGGTTGAGGGCCTCAGGGCTTTGCGAGGGTTTAGGGTTTTCTTGGGGGTTAGGGGCCAATCTGCTGAACGCAACTTCGTGAAGCGCTAGGGTTCTGCTTGGTCTTAAACGCTGAACTACCTCGATGTCGTGTTCATTTTGGCTTAATCCGCTGAACCCCCCACCTTCGCTCTGCTTGTCGGGCGGCACTGTGAGTGGCCATGGTGGCCGCCGGGTGTTTAAGTATCCAAAGGGTTTAGGGTTTAGGGTTGAGGGTTTAGGGTTAGTTTAGGGTATAGGGTTCAGGGTTCAAGGTCCTCCTCTCTTACGTCAAGTCGCTTCGAAGATAGCCCCCCCCCCCCCCTTCACGAAGAGGGCTTAGGGTGTAGGGTTTAGGGTTTAGGGTTTAGGGTTTAGGGTTTAGGGTTTAGGGTTTAGGGCCTCCTCCCCCCACCCCACAGCCACAGCCGCTACATCTAAGTGTTTAGGGGGGGGTTACGGTAGGAGCTCCTATCAACTGATGTGAATCGAAACCGGGGCACCCTTCACCACGTTTAGGGTTTAGGGTTTAGGGTTTAGGGTTTAGGGTTTAGGGTTTAGGGTTTAGGGTTTAGGGTTTAGGGTTTAGGGTTTGAACCAAGCAGAGGTTACGCCAAGATCTGCGATTTCGGGCTGGCGAAGTTCTCGCTGGGTCGCTGCCATACCTTCTGCGGCAACCTCAGAAGACAGGCTTAAGCCCCTAAACCCTATACCCGAAACCCGAAACCCCAAACCCCGAAACCCCGAAACCCCGAAACCCCGAAACCCCTAAACCCCTAAACCCCTAAACCCCTAAACCCCTAAACCCCTAAACCCCTAAACCCCTAAACCCCTAAACCCCTAAACCCCTAAACCCCTAAACCCCTAAACCCCTAAACCCCTAAACCCCTAAACCCCTAAACCCCTAAACCCCTAAACCCCTAAACCCCTAAACCCCCCCTAAACCCCCAAACCCCTAAACCTATGCGTGTCCTCACCCCGAAGCCCTGAGCCCCAGTGAGTGCCCACTCTGAGGTGGGACGCCGGATTATCTGGCACCAGAAGTGGCGGACATCGAGGGCTACACAAAGGCATTTGGAAGCGAGATGGGGGGCCTCTTGGTATCAGCAAGGTTATACGTACCCTAAACCCTAAACCCTAAACCCTAAACCCTAAACCCCAAACCCTAAACCCCAAACCCGAAAATGGGACCAGAGTTATAGCCCTACTTCGAGCTACCCATGAACCTCCAAGCTGGAGAGATTTTACTGTCGGTTTCTCGGCGGACCAAAGTCCCAGTCACCAAAAAAGCAGCGCGGCCATTTTGGGGTTTAGATTTTGGGGTTTAGGTTTTACTCAACTCCCCCCCCCCCCCCCCCCAAAAAAAAAAAAAAAAACAAGAAGAGGCTTTTTGCCTATACTGAGATGACATTAGGGTGTTCTTGCCTTTGGCCCACCCCCCCCCCCCGTAAACCCCTAAACGCCTAAAACCCAAAACCCCGAAAGTGTCAGGCCGTTGACTGGTGGTCCCTGGGCATCCTTGTCTATGAGCTGATGGTGGGTGACACTCCCTGGGAGTGGCTTGGGCCGGATGTTGGGTTTAGGGTTTAGGGTTTGGGGTTTGGGGTTTAGGGTCTAGGGTTTAGGGTTTAGGGTTTAGGGCTTCACGGTTTAAGGGTTTAGGGTTGTGAGGGTTAGGGTTCAGGGGTTTAAGGGTTCGGGTTTGGGGGTCTAAGGGTTTAGGGGTTGGGGTTTCAGGGTCAGGGTGTGGGGGTTTAAGGGTTTGTGTTCCGGAATTGAGGATTCAGGTTTACGGGTTCAAGTTCCAGCGCTTCGGGGTTTTGGGGCCTGGCCCCCAAAACCCTGTGCTTCCGCTGAACATCCAAGACCCTCCCCTAGTACCTGATGCCCGAACTAAACCCCAGACGCCAAAAAAAAAGAAGAATCTGCGCTCACCCTACGTTAAGCCCCTCAACCGTGAACCCCAAACCATGCCTTTCACTCCTAAACTCCAAAACCCTAAGCCCTAAACCCTCAACCCTGCAACACCTTGAGCCGCAAAAAAAAGCCCCCAAACCCTAAACTCCGAAACCCTAAACCCTAAACCCTTTAAACCATAAGCCGCTGCACCCTGCGACTCTAAACCCTGAACCCGTAAACCTGGAGGCCCTTCAACCCGCAAGCTCTGAAAACCCTGAATCCTTGAAGCCTCCGGCCCTAAACCCTAAACCCTAAACCCTAAACCCTAAACCCTAAACCCTAAACCCTAAACCCTAAACCCTAAACCCTAAACCCTAAACCCTAAACCCTAGACCCTAAACCCTAAACCCCTGAGCCCCTAAACCCTAAAACCCTTAAGCCCTGGAACCCTCGAGCCCTCAAGAGCCCTTGAGCCCTTCAACCCTGAACCCCCAACCCTAAACCTTAATGCCTAAACCCCCAACCCTAAACCCGAATCCCTAAACCCTAAACCCTGAACCCTTAAACCCATCGAAAGGTCTGCAGACCCCTTCGAGCCCAGGGCTCGGTGCATGTGAATGCTCGCGGGTTGCGCAGGGTTTAGGGTTTAGGGTTTAGGGTCTAGGGTTTAGGGTTCAGGGTTTAGGGTTTAGAGTTTAGGGTTCAGGGGGTCAGGGTTCAGGGAGTTTGGGGAAGGGGGTTAGGGGTGTGTTGGGGTCATGGGGTTGAGGGAGTTTAGGGGGTTGGAGCTTCGGGTTGCGCCGCCCTGGGAAGTAGTGCTTGGCCCCCAGCTCGGCAGTATGCCGATCAGTACTGGAGGCCCCACGTGTAGCCAGGGAAGCTTCGAGTCTTTGTGTCCAGAGCTTCGGGTTTCTCTGGAGGTTTGGTGGTTTGGTTTTTGGAGTTTCAGGATGTTGGAGGTTTAGGTCTAACATGGGTTTTAGAGGGTTCATGGTTTGGGGGTTTTGGGGGGCTCAGGGTTTTGAACATTGGGACGCTGAGGACCTCACTGGGCTTGGGCTTGGGGCGGTTCAGGGGTCTTCGGGGGTGCAGGTTTGGGGCAGAAGTGGCAGGCCAAAACCCTAAATCCTGAACCTCAACGTTCCTGGCCGCTACCCCTCCCCCCCGCCCCCACCCCCCCTCTCCCGCGCCCAACCTGCTCAAAAGGATTGTGAGGATGGGCAAGAAAGGCGCTGCTGGTTGGGCTTCAGGGGCACCTATTTTCAGCGTTTAGGGTTTTAGGGTGATCGGTGGTTCCCATTCTCACTCCTGTCGCAAAGTGGTACGGGGCCACCCATGCTACTGCCCTCAAGCTTTCTAGGCTTGAAGGGCTCAGGGTGCAGGGACTCGATACTTCAAGCTTTGGGGTTGAGAGTCGTTTGGGGGTTGGGGGGGGGGGGGTAGGGGGGGAGGGGAGGTGGCTCTATTCGGGCCTCAGGTTTCAGTGACTTGGCCTCTCAACCTGGGTGATGCTCAGCCTTGTTTGGGGTACTGTCAACCCTTCACATGACTTTAGGGCTTCGTGCTGCAGAGTTTTCGGGGGTTTCGCCCCTAAAGCAATAACCTCTAAAACCGCCAAGCCCGTCTTTAAGGGGTTTAGGGTTTAGGGCTTATATGTATATATTTCCATCAGAAGAACCAAACACAATGTAGGATCGCATGAGGGTTGGAGGAAACTTTCCACGTGGGGAACCGAGTGGTCCGTCTGCGCAACCTGTCATTTGGGCCACCCCCAGCTTGGGACCCTAAAGCCTAAATGCCCTAAAGCTCAAGCTGTTCAGGGTTGAGGGTTTAGTTTGGGGTTTAGGGTTTAGGGTTTAGGGTTTATAGGGTTTAGGGTTTAGGGCTTAGGGTTTAGCGTTTAGGGTTTAGGGTTACCCTTTCTGGGGGTCCCTTTAAGGGGATTCTATTCTGGAGGGTGTAGAGAAGGGGAAACCCTATTTTGGGAGATACCCACTTAGGACCCTAAATGCCCTAAAGACTCTGAACCCTAAAACCGAAACCTTAAACCCTAAGCCCTCGACCCTAGACCCTAAACCCTAAACCCGAAACCCTAAAGATAGAGCCCGAAACCCATCTGGCCATGTGGGGGGCTTCCTCGAAGGGCTCGGGCGGCTGAAATGGCCCTTACCTGGCCTGGCCCCAAGCAGCCAACTTTGCTTGGGCATCTTGAGGCTTCTTGGGGTTTGCCCCAACCCTAAGCCTAAACCCTAAGCCCTAAGCCCTAAACCCTAAACCCTCAACCCTTGGGGTTTCAGGTTTTGCGAGCAGGGTTTCATGTGCCTGGACCAGCAATGCCGCCCAAACCAAAAACAGCACTCGGGTTGCGTCTCTCGATTCCCTTCCTCCTTCCGACTCGCACTCCCACTCACTCGCCGTCGCAGTCTCGCTGCCTCTCGCTCTCTGCTTTCTGCAGCCGCATTATAGGGGTCGGAATAGTTACTAGTAGTATTCCCTTATGGCCCCTGCAAAATCATACTATAATAAGCCCCCCAAACAATCTTCTGATTATTCAGGCTCCTACATTATGTTCCTTTTCGGTCTCATGGTCGGTGTCGACTGCAGGCTGCAAGCCCCGTAAGCCCTAAGAGTTTAAGAGTCCCGCAACAAACCGTGTGCCCGAGGCCTTTGGAAAGACTTCGTCCAGGACCTATGCCAGGCCGAGACGCAAAGGGTTCGCAGTTGAAGGTGTCAAGCGTTTAGGGGATGAGGCTGCAACCCTAAACCCTAAAGCCTAAACCCCAAATATTAAACCCGAAACCCGAAAGTTTTTACTTTTTAGATGGGCGATTGTTGTAATCTATTTTATGGGCTTCTCTTTTTGCCCAATTTTCTATTCCAAAAACCCCTCGTAATTTATTCTGAAAATGCAATGGGGAAAAAGACACCTTAATTCTATCACAGGTGCATGCGTCTTTTCCTTGTAATCATAATATTATTACCAGCGAAGTAAATGAGCTCTGTTAATCTAGTTTGTGCATGAACGAAGCAACAAAAGTACGCGCGTGCAATTTCCTCACAGCCTTTTTTGCACGCATTTGCAACATTCATATATTTAGAATCCTGTAAATATTAATTCGGGGTCTTTTTACCATGTTAATGCACCCTAAACCCTAAATAAACAAGAGTCCGGGGGTTTAGAAGCCCCTGAGGTTGCTTCGACGACCTCATGGTATAAGAACTTCTGGGCTGAAATTAAAGGTCCGTTTGTGCGGGGGGGTGGGGGGTGGGTTTAGGGTTTAGGATTTAGGGTTTAGGGTTTAGGGGACTTTCTTAATTATGGAGATTCCATCATTTCTTTGGGGGTACGAACCCCCACTTCTTGAAACTCCACAAAGGCCTGCACATTGAGTTTAGGGTTTAGGGTTTAGGGTTAGGGTCTGGGGTTTAGCGTGTACGCTCTCGGGTTTAGGGCCATGACGGTCGCAGTTCAGAGCCTGGCTCAGGCCCAAGTTTAGGGCCATGATGGTCGCAGTTCATCAAAACCCTGCCTAGCTCAGGCCTAAGCCCGCATGAGCGGCAAGGTCTCAAGGCAGGGCTTACAACAATGGGTTTGGGGTTTAGGGTTTAGGGGTTAGGGTTCAAGGACCCAATATCCCAAACAACCCTAAACCCTAAACCCTACACCCTACACCCTGAACCCTGAACCCTAAACCCTAAACCCTAAACCCTAAACCCTAAACCCTAAACCCTAAACCCTAAACCCCAAGCCCTAAACCCTAGACCCTGAACCAAGCCCATCGGTTGCCCGTCCAGGTGGAGCCCACGAGCCGGCTGCCTCTGTCGGGCGGCTCAGGAAAATTCGCGTTGCTTGCAGGATTTAGGGTTTAGGGTTTAGGGCTTAGGGTGTAGGATTGAGGGTTTAGGGCTGAAGGTTCATGTGCGTTCTAAAGGGGGCTATCAGAACCCTAAATCAGGCTAGAACCGATTTGTAATGGCCTAAGTAAGGCTGAACTATAGTTTCCCCTACTTACAACCCTGAGTAAGGCTAGAACCATAGTTCTTAGATGTTCGTGTTGTGCCTTTCAAAAAGGGTACTCTTCACATGAAAAATGGGTTGTCACAAACCGGAAAAACCTGACATATTCCATCCCAAGGTAGTTTTGGGATTTCGTTGGTGTCGTCAAATCTA